AGATAAAGAGCTTGAGCTAATGTCTCCCCTGGATAGAAACTATTCAATACCTCCAACCCTTCCTTTCCTTTCTCTGTATGACACCATTTTGGGATACTGGGTAACCAAGAGCTTCTTACAGCAAGTACATGTATGACCAATGCAACTCCTAGCAGACAGTCCTATATTTTCTGCACTGATGGCATTTCCTGAAAATTACTAAATATTCAATTTGTTTTCTTTCTGACAGCTGTCAAGCATTGAAATACTGCTTCTGAGAACCCAATCTGATGTTTCCAGGAAAGGATTCGGAGCAACAACAGTCATTTACTCCCTCCTCAAGAACAAATTTCCATCCATTATGAAATTCCAGAAGTGGATTTTATGCTGTCACTTAATCCTATGGCACTTTCCCACTCAGTTTTAGTTTTGCCTGTCTTAAATAATCCTCTCATCATAAATTTTATCATTCTATCTCCATCTTTCCTTGATAGCTACATGTCGGACTAATAGTGACCAACCTGCTAACAACCTTGTGAAGAAAAACAAACCTTACTGCCTGTATGATAAGACTCAAGGAACCAAAGCATCTGGAAGCCATATGCCACGCTAAAGTTTTTTTTTTTGAGTTCCAAGGACCCAGAGTGACAAAGTAATTGATTCGTGCTTCAATATCCTAACCTGGCTTATACAAAAGACAGAAAACCACCTTCAATTATTTCGGCTCTGAAACTTTTATTACTTGTAGACTGTTCAGATCTCAAAATCAATACCACACAACAACTTGGTCTAGAGAAAAGCATAATTTGAGAAGAATTTCAGATCAATCTTTTTCACAGTTTTATTTTACTGTGTCATTTAGCAGTGCAAAATATCCCTCAAGATAAGGAAAAAAATATCTCACCACTTTCTCTTTCTTCCAGATGTGCTCATAATGTTTTTTCCATGGGGGTGTAGATGAAGCAAAGAGAACCATAGTGAAGAATGAGGAAAAGCAGCAGCTTTATGGTGTATTGGGTCTGACTGGAATAGAATTTTATTTATTTTTTTTTCCCCAATGTAGCCTATATGGTGCTATGTTTCGGATTTGTGACTAAAACCATGCCAGCACCACACCAGCCTTAGTGCTGCTGTCAGCCTGTTGCTGAGCAGTGGTTTTGTGTTGCTGTTTTTGTTTGCTTCTTTTTTTCCCCCCTCCATTCTGCCTCCCCAGCAAGTAGGCTGTGGGTGTGCAGGACGGCAGGGGACACAGCCAGGATAGCTGATTTGAACTGATCAAAGGATGTTCCTATCACATGATGTTCTCTGCAATAAATGCTCAGAGAAGGGAGAAACCGGCCCGTTCTTGTCTGTGACATCTGTCTCCCTCTCGAGTAACTGTTGTGCGTGATGAAGCAGTGATTAAGCATTATCTGCAGGATAGTATTTTCCATACTTTATGAAGGAAGATCAAGATTTAAATGAAACGAGCAGCACATCCACCTGCTAATTGGGAAGTAGACAGTTGATATTTTCATTTGTAGCTTGCACAAAGCAAAAAAACTTGCCCTTTGCAGTATTTTGTTAGCATTTTGTTCATGTCTCTCAGGTAGAAATCCCTCAATCATACTCAACTCACCAGATCCTTATGGTATGCAATGCTGGTTTGAAACACTGATTTGCTTTATTTCACATTTTTAAAAGACATGTTTAATGAGGAAGAAAAACGGGAGAATCTATTTTCATTGCAATAATATCTATGAGTATTTACCCATTAATTATTTTAACATGATAACAAATGAAAGTGAAACACAGCTTTATAATAACAGAAAAGCACTTGAAATGCCTTTCATTTTATGACTATAGGCTTTTGCAGGAAGACAACAGCCCCTAACACTGAAGGAAACATGAGATTTGGGATGGACAGAATACCTGCACGCATGTACCTATATCCATCAGGGTTTAAAATGTGGATCACAATGGCAGATCTCCCAATGGATATGCCTATTAGATTTACAAGGAGTACCACCTGCTTTTCATCCTACTACCTTAAAAAATTATAGCCAAGGAAAAGTGCCAGTAATAAAACTGGACCACTCTACTACAGTACACTTACCAACAGCAACTACGTACAATACAAAGACTAAAAAACCTGATTGAGACAGCAAGTCTACAGAAACTCTCCCAAAAGCTAAAAACATCTTGCACAGTGTGGATGACGCAGCTTTCTAAATTGTGTTCTGAAAGGTTTTCACAGAACTTAAGCTGAAATGCCTCAGACAGACAGCTTACTTGCCATACAACATAGCTTTAGGTAAGTGTAGCTGCGTAGGGGAGGACTACAGACACAGTTCATCTTTCTAAGTAAATCAGACAATGCAAAAATGCAGAATAACTGCTGCTTAACTGTCCGGCCTTCTGAATTGGAATACCAGTTAATGATCTTCCATTTCACATGCATGGATATACATTTGACAACACAACAAAAATCAATCCTATTCCCTATCTTTCCCTTTATACAGGCTTGGACAGCCAGAGCACAGAGATCATAGCATGTGTTATTGTCTAATTCCTCTCTCCACAGTATTCCTTTCATAACGGCGTCAACGTTTGACAGCAGAAGAGGAGAAACATTCTAGTTAAGGAACTGAACAAGAACTCTGCTGATCAAGGCTTTATATTCATTTCTACTAAAAATTCCTACCCAGTCATAATTTGTGCTTGGTTCCCCATTGTAACAATTTGCTTCTGCCTCTCATGTTTATTTTCCAGAAGTATCTGAGATTGCTTTACTGGTTTGCTCAATGCAATACAATTTTGATCACCCTTTTCTTCGGTTGCATAGACACTATTACACAATTAATAGAAGTTCAAACACCAAATAAATCCACAGGCTACTAGAATCAAGGAATTACATTTCAAAATTAAAAAAAAATAATAAGTGTTAAAATTCGGAATTTCTCTATAGTGGAACTGTTAAGTTATCTAGACATTTATCAAAATGAAAGCAATGCAATGAAGCTAAAACTAGAAACTATTCTTCAACTATATATTCTTCAACTATACTGAACATGCTGAAAAAAATTTACTGCTGTTTTTGAACAGCTTCTTTCTTTGAAATTTGTTTCATTATTATAGCATTCCATAATCTTAACAAATCTGCATTGGATTCTTCTTGCTATTTTTGAATGTGCTAAATAAGAGGATGGGACAAACCATTCCATAATCAGTAATGTACTACATGTGTACACCATGTCATGGGTGACCAGGGCACAACGCCCAGCCATATGGTGCACTTAAGAGCCAACTCATCTACATCGCCCGTTACCAGGCAACGTGCTGGACTTTAGTCTCAGCCTAGTAAGAAAAAAAATGACCTCTTAGCCCCAGAAGTTGATTGATATTCATTGTGCTGGTTAGGTTATGATCACAGGGGAAAATAATAAAATCAATTATGCACATGGAGATTTGGAGGCATTAGACCTTCCCAGATTCCAAATGAGTGTTTTCTTCTTCTTTCTTGTCATACACCTCAAATCACTGATTTATCTTCTTGAAAGAACTTTAATATCATTTCTTTTAAGCACATTCCTAGATAGTGAAGCAGTATATTCACAGTTAAATTTATGCCAGCTTCCTAAAAACATGCTGGTAATTATCCTGGGGACCACCTTCTCCCACAGGTTGGAAACCCCAACTTCAATCTTACATTCTTCATTACAATTTCTCTAACAAAAGCTGTCAATTGTGTCAAATTCTGCTCAGAATTATAAGGTTATTCTGTGATGAAAAGCAGTATTAATGAGAGGAAAAGCCAAAAGCAACAAGCTTGCTGAGCACCATAGAATTGATTTCAATCTGCCTTCAAGATGAACAAACCTTTTTCTTGGTTTTATCCTGTAAACCAGGCAATTTTCTTGAAACAACAAAATTTTGTTTCAAGGACATTTAGAGGTAGATTGTGTATAGTACAGAAGAATAAGTATAAGACACTTTGTATTCCTAGCAAGGACTGCACGCCAAATTCTTTCACTGACACAAAACTGTTGTGGCAGAATTCAAGTTCTAACACTAACGTCTTTGTGTGAGAAAAGTGAGCCTACTCTACCTCGTCAGCACATGTGCAACTTACTACACAAAGAACAGAGAAAAGACTAATTTCAAATATATTTCTACTAGCTCTGTGTGGGGCTCACTGAATAACTGTAGGCACACATCTAATTGCTATTGCTGTACCACAGGACAAGCCATGGCTATTACACGGTACAAAGATGGAGCACTGCATTTTTTTTTAAGCAGAGGATTGGTGAGAAATGTTTGCAAAGTACCAAATACACACATTAAGAATCATACACTTTGTTTAGTTTTTCTGTTATCTTGCAACTGTTATTCAACTGAGTATAAAATTGTATCCTAATAAAAAGTGCTTAAACAATACTGTTTCCAAGCATGGGTTAAAATGCTTCACAAAAAAAAAAAAAAAAAATATCTGAGTATGAAACAGCAACGAAAAGTCTGGATTAGAAAACATCTGTTGGAATCTAATGTAAAATAGCTTTCAGGAAGGAAAAAAGTAAAAAATGAATTAACACAACCACCGCATCACAAGTTCTATAAATCTATGAGCTTGAATAACAAAGCATAAAGAATTATTCATGGCTGTTCTAAGGGGAAGACTGCTTGAACCAACTAATAAATATACAGAATTTCTTTCTGACAGAATCAGTCAAAAGTAAAATAAACACAGCAACACAACCCCAACCTGCAAAAGGGAAATAAGAGGAATGAACAGTTTATTTTAAAGCTATGGACAGAAACAGGGAAGATGTTCTGTTGCAAGCCACAAACAAGTTGTTACTCATTAAAGAGTAAAAGACAATTGATCTTCTAAGAACGGCCTATGAGTCTTGAGATCCAGTATCACCAAGACCAACATATTACCTTATACAACTGCAAAACAAACATTTCAAACCACATCCCCAGGAAAAAATGAAATCAACAACAGCAAATAAATACGTAAATAAATAAATCAGCATACTTACAGAAAGAAGGCTCCGATCATGAAAACAATAGGCACCACTTGCATGGGGCTTCTGTGTAGTTTCCTAAGCAAAGGAAAATGAATTCTTACTGTGCAAGGTAGATTCATAGGAGATAATATTTTAGCTTTCCAAACACTGAAAGCCTGAGGTAAGCTTTACGATTAATAAATATATAATAAAAAATATAAGGAACATATTGCACTGAGGAAGAATTTCACAAAAAAGAAATGTACCATACATTATAGGGACATAATAACATTGTTACTTGAGAACAAAGAAAAACAGCAGAATTCAAACAATCATAAAAACAAATAAATATTTTATTACTTTAGTAATAGATAATTAAAAGACAGAGAAAACTAGCCAGACACTTTTCAATTTATTTGAAATCTACATTCTTTGTTTGCATTAGGAACTCACCTAATGCAATACAATGCTGTAGTTCAACATCGTCCTCAGTCCAGGTTTCTGTTTCAATAGGAATACATAACTATGATTTGCTTGGGTGTTTTTCAGTTGTAAACTTCATGCAGTTTTGCAAAAGAATAATTATCATAAAATATATAAACAGAAGGGAGCATCCAAAATATATTATACATGCGCAGAGCCTTGAATTAAAATAGGATAACATTCTATCCCATACTATTCTTTTTGTTTAAATCGATGAGCAGCTGGTGACATCTAATATTTTACTGAATTATTCATTGAATTTCAGCAGTTACAGTAAGCTCAAGCATGTTTTTCATAACAAATTCACCCTAAATGCATTTTCATTTCCATGTGCACATGGTAGTATACATTCCCTCATACAAACAGATGATAGAAATACTGTACATATTTTGAGTCTACAAAGAAAAAATACAGCAAAAAGTCTCCGTATTATTAAAACAGATAAATTTTATCATGTTTTACCCACATAAATAATTCCAGACAGTAAACATATTGAATATTTTTCTAACAAAATGGTGTTATTCATTTATTTATAATAACCTATATACATCCATAAATCAAAATTCAGTAGTGATTATCCCTAACAAGAAGGAATAGAAGCAACCACCACAACCACCAAGGTACACATTCTATAACATCCAATCAAACAATCGCTAAACATGGATTAATCTTCAGTCATATTCACATGATTCTACAAAGCAATTTTCAATGTAAGCAAACAGAGAGAAAATGCTAATAATTTTGTGAGAAAACCTGCATTTTGACAATGTCATGTTCACAAGCCCCTAGATAACCCAGCTGAGCATCACAGATGTTGATGTTATGCTTCCAACTGACATCAGATATCATTAAGATGGTACACACCACTAAAAGGAAACTTGTCTGGTTTTATAATGCTAAATTTTGTTTTCAACATGTCATACAGCACAGAAAAACAAGGAGCAGGTTCTTGCTTTGCATCCATATAGCACACCATACTACAACATTTGTCAACAGCACAATAAACATTCTGCAGGACTCAAGTCCTTATTTTCTGAGAAAGTAAATAAAAGCAAGACTTGAGTCAATCAAAAGAAATCTTACCAAGCATCTAGGAAGAAGCCAGGCTGAGAAATGTTAATATCCCCTTAAAAATGGAAGAGTGGGGTTTTCAGGTGAGAATACCTCAGCTCCCACAGGGCAGCCAGGTCTGCAGCCAGACCAGCAGAGATTCTCCTATGGGGTCACTGCCACAGAGATCTCCAAGCCATGCAGGCTTATAATGTTACCATACCTGTGCATTCCAGGAGTATCCCAGCCATTACAGTGCTTTTCCTTATGAGCAGTTCCTTTAAGTATTTTACATATACGTATAGAAATGTGTGTGTGTGTGTGTGTGTGTATATATATATATATATATATATATATATATATATATATATTATATATATAAATAAAGGTCCCAGGGCAATAAGAAACATATTAATACCTACACGCAGATTCTAGGTTTGATTTACACCTTCACAACTTTATCAAAAAGCATATGTATAATTTACCATCATCTGACACCTTCAATTCTGCTCTAAAATACCACTAAACAATGATATTTGTTGCTTCAAGTTAAAAGTGATTCCCGTTAGATAACAGCAAAATACAACAAGGAGCGAGCTTTGCCATCATTAGACTTCTAACCACATTACTTCTATTTTGAGGCTTTTTTGTTTGGTATCAGTTTAATTTCCTGTCAGCCTTACAAGAGATTGCTAATGTTTGGGCTGTAGGATATGCTCTGATTAAAAATAATCTTCCCAATTACTGCCTGGCATGAGTCTACTGCCACATGCACTCTGCCACTGGCTTCTGAATTTCTGTCAGCAGTAATTGTATCTGTAGCTCCTAACTGTAAATGAAAACCCAGGGGGGCATATTTGGGTTCCAGTTTCCTGTGCCTCGCCATATCTTTTAATTTGCACTGTCTGTCAAAAGGAGATGTTCGTCGGCACTAAAAGGAAATCCTCAGAACATCAGGTTAAAAATAAAAAAAAAGGAAAGGGGAAAAAAAAAGGCAACTAGAATATGATAAATTGTATTTTATACTTATACCACGTAGACAGAGAATGTCATTAATTCTTTCAGCTGCAGAAGTGGTAAACTGAAACTATGTATTGAACATTTCTTCCAGCCCCAATTCCTTCAGGGACTTCAGACCCATGTTATCACCTCATCTCTGTCCCAGTTCACTGCTGCTGCTCCTGGATTTGGGTCCTGGCCTTGCCTAAAATTGTCAGTGCCCACTCACTTCTAGGGCCTGGTTTGGCTCTCCCCGCTGAGGCCCGATGGACCCACAGCCCATGGGGGAACCCCTCGGTTGCATGGGGTGCCTTCAGCTCCAGCTTCCCCCTCAGGGACAGCCAGCTGGCCCCAGATCTTATGTATTTCAGACAGCACTGGTTAAACCTGGCAGTAAGAGTTAAATGCAATCACAGTCACCCAGTTTAATGATAATTCATGTTAAGGTTGTCACTGATTTACTTTTCCTCTTAGGAATGTTGCTGCTTAGAGAGCTATGATGGGTGACCTAAAGACAGTGTGCCCTGTGTGATCCTTAAAGGAAAAGCATCAGGAGAAGAATGAACACCAAGCACAGACTGGACTCTGAAATAAAGAAACTTGAGGATTAGAAAAACTCTTGATATAATATTAAAAGCGAAGCACCATTTAGAAGGGAAAAGCACAACCAAATACACGAGACGTATGGCAGTAGTTTTACTTGTGTAAGATCTCAAACAGCCCCTCAAAGATCCTCTAAAAAGCATCTCTAAACTTCTGATGCTCAGAAAGCTCTCTTAACGTGCAGAAGCCTACAACACAGAAAAAATCAGTTCCTAGCTAGTTTCTCCTTACACAGAAAGCATCAAAATTTATCCATTAACGTAGATATCATAACTACTACTTAAGAAATAATCGCTTTTAAGCTTTTCTTCAGAATTTTTGCTTTTCTCCCTCATTCTTCTGCATAAAGAGGCTGTTCTACCAAAGCTCTTAAGCAGAAAGAACAGTCCCATGAACATCAGTAAGATTAATCACACAATTCCACATAATAATATACTTACATGCCCGCAAGATTCAAAGATTACCACAAATTCAAGTGAAGAGGACATACAATAACATGAAAAAGCCTGAACTTTTACCAGGAGGACTGTAGAGTTCTCCTGTCAGTCGTGAGCTTTTAGCACTGAATGCTGTGATGCTGACAAAGACCAAACAGTTGCAGCATTATACTTAGAGAATAGGGTTTTTACATTTTCCATTTTGAAACTAATAGTTCTCTCATCTGTAATGAGTCAAGAAATGAATCATAGCTGTGCAAAGCAATGCATCTTTGAAAGAAATTTCAGATGTAGAGAAAATAAAGCTAAATTTGCTAACTTTGTCCTCTTCTTTTTAAATGACTATTTTGACATTGCATTTTCAGCGTTAATAAACAATCTAAAATTAATGACTAGAACAAGGGAAAGTTGTAAAAAGGATAAACTGCCTTCGTTTTCCAATAGTTTCACAAACATGATATGGATACTCTCACTATAACTGAAAGAGCTCAGCTACAGGATGCATCTGGACTGGGAAAATGTAACAGCAGAGCAGCTAGCAGCCCTAACAGCAATAGCGTAGTTAAAGGACACAGCACTTTCCTCTGACTGAATCATGACTCTTGTGGACAAATCTAAGATAAGCACACGCTCCACATTTTCTGAACTAAAGAAAATTTGCACACCACGGAAATACGAGTATCTTTTTGCACCCTGGATGGGAAGGGTATAGAATGGGTTGGCTGATATTTATCAATTTTCAGGAAGAGCGATTTACATAAGGTTATCAGGTCTTGAAAGGGTCTGGCTCTCTCACCTGATGTCACCAACCATGTTGGGTCTGAGTGTGCAGGCTGGGAGCCACTCACATAGATCCAAGCACGTTCACTCTCCCAGAGCTTTCCCTTCCCATTTCCCTTACCGTGTAGAGCTGCTCTGAACCAGTCAGCCCAATCTCTCTTACCTTGTTCAGATATTGCATTCTGATAAAGCATTTAACGTTAATCTCGCTGACTCAAAATTATTTTTGATAGCTCATTCAGTTAATCACTATGCTATAACTGAAAGAACACAATTCTGTAATTTAAATTGGAGAAGAAAATGCCTGTATGCCATAGAAGCAGCTTATTTTTAAGAAAAGCTAATATACCTTCTCCATTAGTACTGCAGAAGTACTTAGTCATACAGAAAAAAACATACAGAAAAAAAGAAAAAAAAAGGTATTTATTCCTGCTCATATGAAGAGCATATAGAAATTGGCTATCCTTGGCTCTTTATTGAAATCATCATCTACTTCAGAGTACAGGTGAAGTTATATCTGCAACCCGAATGGGACACTGCCAGGGATCTTAACACTGAGGTTATATTTCTCTTTCTAGAGTAAGCACTGACTTAAGCTGGTTTTCACAGGAAGAAGGGACAAGCACGTGTATAAATTATGAAACCCAGAGCACAGGCACACAGAAAACATCTCTGCAGAACCAGTTGGCCCAGATTTGCTACTTGTAAGCAACAAAAGATCATTTTTTTTTCCTCCTCTTTTTAATCTACAGTTCTTTCTATTTGCACCATATCCACTGAGAAAAAGCATTGGATTTGTAAGCATTGCAGGTTTCCATCCGCCTTGCTGAATAACCAGCTCCACATCACCTTTTTCTTTATCTGTAACCTTCCACAGCGTACTGAGAAAATCACAAACTGCAAGTAAGGGTCCCTTCTCAATCACTTACGGCATCAGGAGCTTCACACCAGTAAGCTGACACGTGTGAAATAAGACCACTTATCAAAGAAGAGAGAGGTCAAAGGCTTCTAAGGTTGGAACAGGAACCTGCTGGTTGCTGCAAATCTCTCACCAGCTCGTTTGAGCCTGACACTTAATATTCAAACTGAATTGCAAGCGATGTACTCAAGGATAAAGCGCAGTAATAATAAAGATTCATGGTCTGACAA